AAAGCGTAGTAACAATTTCAAACTTTTTAAAGATCATTCAATTTGTTTACTAATTCTGAATTAAAAGTTTACTAATCCTGAATAAAACGTTATATAGGTGGATTTTTTACATTTTATAAACAATATATGTAAACAAATTAAATATTTGTTTATATAAACATTGTTTATATAGGGATGGTTTAGCGCAACAAAGTTTAAAAAAAAGTTAGTTTATATTAAAATTAAAAAATAATTTATATAATGTTTCTTTGCAAACACCAATACTCTATACAGGCCTTGACATGAAGAAAATACAATGATTTGAGTTTTGCGATGGCGATGTTTCGCGACCGTAAAACTAATTTTTTTTTTTTTTTTTTGTAATTTGTTACCTATAATGCGGTTACGCGAGCAATCTTTTATTTTTGGATGTTTCACACAATTTTATTAATTTTTAATTTGTTATATTTGTTATAATTGTTATTCTTTAGACGATAAATATTTTAAATTTATTATTTAGCAGCGCACTGCTTGACAAAATTCTTTCGACTTCCTAAATACTTAATTATTATTTCAATGCATCTGATTGTGTTTTTTTCTTTTTTTCCACCTAGTTCTTAATGATCTTGTTTTTAAGAATAAATTTATCCTTTATGTATTTTCTTTGTTATTGTCTTTATCTTTAACTGTATACTACAGTCAATTTTTTTATTATTCCGTCGAATTTAATTGAAGGAAGTTCATAAGCTGTTATTTTTTTCATCGTTTCGTTTGTTTAATTAAAATATAAGTTCATAAAGCTTTCGCATCGTTAAAACATTAAGACAATAAAATAACGATTTCTTTTCATTAAAACATATTTAATGTTGTTTTGTTGCTAATGCTAATAGAACTTCTAAAACTTATTTTGCAAAAGTTTTCACCATCTTAAACTTTTATTTTTCTCAAATAAATTAATAATTTTATTTAAGTTATAAATAATATAGGTTATAATTCTAATAACAAAAGCTTTTTAAATTTAGTTAAATTTTGGCCGAAATGCTCTAATTTACCGAATGACGAAGTTTAATATTTAGAAAACCAGTTTTATTAATTGTTTGGTTTCGATTGCCAATGCGTAATTAAAAGCATGTGAATAAAAACGATTTTGTTTTTAACGAGAACCAAACTATTCCGTTCAAAACACAACGTTTTTAGAAACATTTATTTCAAAATTTAATAAAAATTCATAAAAAATTGTTCGTTTAAAAAAACGATTTACAAAGACTTTGTCCTAATTATTTTTTTTTTTAATTGCGTTTTTCTTGAAATACGTAGGTAATCTTAATACAGTCATTCTGGGTAACTTTGAATTTGCGGGTAACATTGAACTAAACGTGTAAATGTTTTTAAATTTTTTTTTCTCTGGTATTTTCTTTGCCTGTTGCTTTAACAAAGAATAATATGATGAATTATCTTTTTTTACAAAAGTTTGACCAAAGAAAATTAAATTTTATTTCTCAAAAATAATGTTTTCCTCCATTTCCAGTTACACAGTCGAATGTGGTGATAACATCGTGTGTTTTCAATTTAGAATATTTGGTATTATATTGTAATTTTCTGAATAGATTTTTAAGTATTTTATTGAATTATTTTTCGAACTTTAATACAAACTCAAAATAATAGGATTTAACATGTTTTTTGCTACAAAAAGGATATTTATTTCCACTTAGCTAAAATATAACCAAATTCAGGGTAACTTTAGACAATCAATATTTTCCAAAAATGCTTTTTTTGTTGTCTGAGTAACATTGCAATAATACATAATAAATAATAGGCATCTTTTTATTATAGTATTTTTATTATAAAATGATATATGATATTATAAATAATAAAAATTATAACATATATTACTAATATATTAATTTTTGATATTTATGGCTATCTTGATAGATTTAATAATATATTTTATTAAAAGCAAATATGCGATTAATTAAATAATTTTTATTAATAACATAAATCATCTTTATATTTTTAGCATTCATAAAATGCCAAGAAAATGTTCGACAAGTCATCCTGGCACAAGAAAATATGGCACTAAATCTAATTACACCAATTCTACACTTCAAGAGGCTTTAGCCAAAATTAAATTAGAAAAAATGTCGATTGGTGAAGCTTCTAAAATTTATAAAGTACCTAAAGCAACACTATTTTATAAGCTAATAAAAAATAAACACTGTAAATCAGTAGGGCGCCCTATTGCCCTTAGCATTGATGAAGAACTTTGTTTTGAAAATCACTAACTTTTTTTAAGTGACAAAGGTATACCAATTAGAATTAATGATTTTAAAAGTATTGTCAAAATCTATTTGGATGATAGTGGAAAAAATATACAACAGTTTAAAGATAACCGACCAGGTTGGGAGTGGTGTAAACTTTATCTTGACAGGCATCCATCATTAAAAGAAAAAGTATCTCATTGTATTTCAAGGAAACGTGCACAGATTAATTATTGTCAAATAAAATTATTTTTTCAAAATCTAGAGAAGGAATTAAATGGAGTAACGCCAGATAACATTTACAATATGGATGAAACAGGGTTTCATGATGACCCTGGAAAAAAAAAACTTATTTTTCGTCGATCCTCTCGCCATTCAGAACTTATAAGAAACACAAAAAAAACTTGTTACACTGTTGTTTTTTGTGGAAATGCCTCAGGAAAACTAGTTCCACCATTTTTCATTTTTAAAGGAAAACACAGTTGGTCTGACTGGCTTTTCAATGCACCAGAAGGATCAAGAATGGCAACTTCTTGCAGTGGCTGGATGGAAATTCAAATATTTGAAGAGTGGCTGTTAAACCACTTTGTTCCAAATATTATAAATAAGGAAAGTAAAAAAATTCTGATTTGCGATAATTTAAGTGCTCATATATCTTTAAAAGCCTTAAATATATGTGAAAAGTATAATATAACATTTATATGTTTGGTACCCAATTCCACACACCTTTTACAACCTTTAGATGTTGGATGTTTCTCGAGTTTAAAAGCTGATTGGAGGTCAGTTCTTAATCAATGGCGTAAAACATCCAGAGGAAAAAAGGTTAATAATCTGCCAAAAAATTTATTTACGCAGCTCATTAAATCTACTCTTAATGTTGGTAAAGTAAATCTAGAACATAATCTCCAAGCAGGATTTAAGGCTACTGGCATATATCCATTTTTACCAGAGCATGTTCTCTCCAAATTACCCAGTTTTACAAATATAGATATTCAACTCAATATTGGAGAATCGTTTAGGAATTATGTTGATGATATTCATCTTAATTATGAAGTAAGCAAAAAATTTAAGTTACCAATAACAGCAGGGAAAAGTGTATCAGCCACTGAGGTAGAAGCATACTATAAGGAAAGAGACAATAAAAAAAAAAGTCAAGATAATATTCGAGCAAAGAAAAGAGGAAGACCACTTGGATCAAATAATATGGTTATGAAAATGAACAAAAAACTTAATATTTTACAAAGTTCAAGCATCGTAAATGTTAATCAAGTTATTGAAGACGATGAACAAGTTTTACCTGTATCTCAAATTGATGCAGTTTTTTCATTGGAGCAAATAAACAATCACTATGTACATGTTTTCCTTGATCATGATTATTTTGTAAAAGAGTTAGTTGAAACTCAAGACTAAAAGAAGGAAACACTGTAACATTTAGTTTTATAGTCAATGGCGTTTATTTGTGGAGAATTATATAAAAATAATGTCTTATTTAATTTTTTCTTTTATAACCTTAAAAATTATTTTGTGAATATTTTATTGAAAAACTTGTTTGTTTATTCTCGAAATATTTTATTGAAAAACTTGTTTGTTTATTCTCGAAATAATTTATTGAAAAACTTGTTTGTTTATTCTAGAAATATTTTATTGAAAAACTTGTTTGTTTATTCTAGAAATATTTTATTGAAAAACTTGTTTGTTTATTCTCGAAATAGTTTAACTAGATTTTTTAAAAAATTAATTTAAACTTATACAAAGAAATTTAAACAACTTTTTAGATTTAAAAGATTAAAATTGACATTCAGTTTAATTGTGTTCAAAGTTACCCGAAATGCGAGGGTAACTTTGAACGCCTACTTGAACATTGTTTTTTTACATAATATCTAGCAAATTTAAAAAAATGATAGCAAACTAGAAAAAAGAGATCATCAGAACACTCTTTATGTAAAAATATTTGTTATCTAGTTAGTAAAACAATTTTTGTTGAGATAAACCTAGCGCAAACCGTTCAAAGTTACCCGTAATGACTATACTGTAAAAATTTTGTAATATTAATTACGCTAAAAAACTGTAATATTAAAAATGTAAAAATTCGATGTTCAATGTCATTTTGCTTTCGTTTTTAAAGCAGTTTTTATTAGTTACTATGCTTTTCTGAACTTGAAAGAGCACGTTTTTTAAGAACATGCGGTCAATCGAAAAGGTCTACCAAGTCAGATCCGACGAACATAGTTTCATTTTACATGTTTACTTAAGTTGAATTTTAGAACATTTTATATTAAAAATTTAGAACGAATAATTGTGTGTTTGTTTTTATTTGTTAAATTTGTAAAAAGAAGAGTTGTAAAATGAAAATCTGATTTTTATACTATATAAAACCTTATTTTTACTTCATAGGAATTATATTTAATAAATAAAAAAAGAAAAATATGAATTTGAAAGTTTTTATTTTAATCTTTTTCAAAACATTTTTTATTTTGTTTAACATAAAAGCTTTTTATTGTAAGGAAAAATTCAAACTACGTGAAAAAAATTTGCACGATTCAAAAGACAAGACTAATTAATAATTGACTTAAATTTAAATTAAGTACATTATTAAGTGTATTAGTCGTGAGTAAAGGTTGATTTAAACTTTTTATTTTTCTGTTTATTTGATGTGTAACTTTGATTTTTTTTTTTGGTTTACTATAATTTATTTTTTTTTAATTTAGTATAAATTAGATAAAGTACAAGTATAGATAGTGAATATTATTTATTTCTATTTAGTTAACCACGGAGATGAAACTCAATGTAAGTTTTTGATTTTTTTAAATATTTAAGTAGAATTTAAAATATATATTAGTATAGTATTTCTAGAGAAGTAAATTTCCGTTTAGTTAACTTTTAGTTAATTTTAGTTAACAATAATGGTGAAATTGAAAGTAAGTTTTAAATTTTGTAACTATTTTAGTAGAATAAAAGTCGTATGTTATATGTTATATGTTATTGATGACTTTTGTCTAAAACAATATGCTAATGTAATGCATTATGTTTAATTTATTTAATTTATTATATTTACCTGATAAAGGTATTACCATTAGTTAGCCAAATAGCAATTCCTTTTTTTTATTATTATATTATTAAAATATGTATATATAAGTCTTTAAATCATTAGTTTTACTAAAAGTGTATTTATTAATGTTTAGACAAAGCAATAAGGAAAAACAGTTGGAGTTTTTGTTATTAAACATTTGTTATTAGGATTTAATTAATTTGCACTGTTTACTTTTAACTTTATAGGAAAATTTAAACAAAGACTATGTATTAATTTTTTTACAATATATATATATATATATATATATATATATATATATATATATATATATATATATATATATATATATATATATATATATATATATATATATATGTATATATATATATATATATATATATATATATATATATATATATATATATATATATATTATATATATATATACACATATATATATACATATATACATATATATATATATATATATATATATATATATATATATATATATATATATATATATATACATGCATGCATACATACATACATACATACATACATACATACATACATACATACATACATACATACATACATACATACATACATACATACATACATACAGACACACAGTAGTGATAGAACCTTGACTCAACATTGTCAGTTGATCCTTATTTAAAGATATTTTTTTGATGTCTTTTTAAAGAATTTTCAAGTTATTTTTTTTTGCTTTAAAAAGGTTTTATGGATGAGATTTAACAAACATGTAAAAATTATTTAAATACATACTTGCATTTTATAATTAATTGTTATATCTTTTTATTATTACTTTTTTAAGCACCGTCATCTGGTACTACTACAATTAGTAGGGTTATGCTTTATAATTTAATTGAGATACAAATGTCAACATGTTCAGTTTTTATTTTATCCAACTTTGTTTTATCTTCCATTTCTTTAGCATCGTCATCTGATACTGCTACAACTGGTAGGGTTATGAATTAGATTATCATAATGTACATATTAACATGATCAGTTTTTATTTTATCAAACTTGTATTTCACTTTCTATTTCTTAAGCTGTGACACTTGGTACTACTACAAACGGTAGGATTATGCTTGATATTTTTATTGAAGTTTAAATATAAGCATGTCTAGTTTTTTGTTTATCCTACTCTTTCTTATCCTACTTTTATTTTATTTTGTATTTCTTTAGCACTGACATCTGGGACCTCTGCAATTAGTAAGGTTATGCTTTATATTTTAATTAAAATGCAAATATCAACATGTAAGGCTTTTATTGAATTTTTTTCTATTTTTTTAAGCATCGTCATCTGGTACTACTACAATTGGTAGGCTTATACTTTATATTTTTGTTGAAGTTCAAATATTGATATGTTCAGTTTTTATTTATCTTACTTTTATTTTATTTTCTATTTCTTTAGCACTGACATCTGGTATTACTACAATTGGTAAGGTTATGCTTTGAATTTTGATTAAAATGCAAATATCAACATGTTTGACTTTTATTTTTTTATTATTATTTTTTTAAGCATCGTCATCTGGTACTACTACAATTAGTAGGGTTATGCTTTATATTTTTAATAAAATACAAGTATCAACATGTTCAGTTTTATTTTTGTTTTTTATTCTACTTTTTTTCTAATTTTATTTAATTATCTAATTTATCTAATTTTAATTATAATTTTATTCTACTTTTTTTTCTTCCATTTCTTTAGCCTCGCCATCTGATACTACTACAACTGGTGGGGTTATGATTTACATTTTTTATTAAAATGCAAATATTAACATGTTCTGTTTTTATTTTATCTAACTTTTATTTTAACTACTATTTCTTTAGCATTGACATCTGACACTACTACAATTGGTAGGGTTATGTTTGATATTTTTATGCATTATTTTTAAATTAGAATATGTCGTTTTATTATTTATTTTATTATTAGTTTTTATTATATTCTACTTTTTTTTCTTCTGTTTTTTTAGCATTGTCGGGCACTGCTGCAACCGGTAGAGTTATGCTTTATCTTATTTTTTTTAATGCAAATATCTATTTTTTATTATACTATTTTTTATTTCTTTAGATCTAAGTTGGAGCAGCTACAGAACTTATCGCTCCCAGCACCCAGGACCTCTTTCTGAGAGGGATTATGAAAAATGGTGCAGTAATAATGGTATTGATGAGCCATCTTTTAAATGGATGACTCATCCATACGGGGGTGCTATGAGGCACCAAGTAAAAAGTAGTAGCAAAGTAGTTTTTAATACTTTCAATCGGTGAAGATATTAACATTTTTTTTTTGTTGCTGTTTTTTTCTTGGTGTTTTATTTTTATTAAAAAAATATATATATTCTGAATTATGTTTGTTTTTATTTTTTTTTAGTATTTATTTAGATTATTACTTAAAGTTTTTATTACTTTAAATTTTTGATTTACAATATAACATGGCTATTATATTGCTTTGAATATATACTATATCAGTTAATCAGTTTTGTAAAATGTACTACAGCTGTTTATTAACTGTAAAAAAATCACATTTATATTTGTAATATTTTTAAGTTATAATTTTGAACTAATTTTTTCGACTTCCAGCATATTTTATTATTTTTTTTTTGATTGTTTTGAATTTAATAATTTAGTGTTTCTAGCAACTTTTAACATATGTAAAGCTTTAATAAATTTAATCTTCTGATTTTAATTTGTAATAAATAAAATATAATATTGAAAAAAATTTAAGTAAAAAAAAAAGGAGAACAGATAAATAATCTTTGATAAACTTAGTTATGTTGCTTATGTCAGGGTTAACCCTGATGTACTTAATTATGTTGCTTAAGTTATCTTGCTGCAGTGATGCTGTTGAATTTTTTTAAAAAAATTTTTTCTTTGGAATTTAGAAAAATAAATTAAACTACAACTTTTTAACAGTCATTTCATTGTTTGTGAAGGTTAAATTATTTTTCCTTTTTTTCATAGTTTTATTTATATTGTTTTATTATTTATATTTGTCTTTATACACGTTGTTAAATGTGTTATGTTAGTGTTATATGTATGTTATGTGTTAGCTGTTATTTAATTTGTTTATATGTGTTACTTTGGCTGTATGTGTTATAAAGGTTATATGTGTTTATGGTTTGTGTATATGTTTATATTATGTTGTTTTCATGCTTTCAAAGTGGAATGACTTGGCAAACGTCGAGCAAGATAGTTAACCTTGCCAGCCAAGCGGTGTACTTAAAGCAGAGGTATGACTTGGCTGTATGTGTTATAAAGGTTATATGTGTTTATGGTTTGTGTATATGTTTATATTATGTTGTTTTCATGCTTTCAAAGTGGAATGACTTGGCAAACGTCGAGCAAGATAGTTAACCTTGCCAGCCAAGCGGTGTACTTAAAGCAGAGGTATGACTTGGCAGCGTTTAGTGCCAAGTGGTGTTACTGCTTTGTTGTAGCAAGGTTGTGTTGTCTAGCCTTTTTTACTTGCTCTGGAAACACTTACAAATATGTAATGTGTTAATATATTTTTATAAGGTTATATGTGTTTTTAGTTTGTTTCTTTGTCTATTTCTCATGTAGTTTCTATGTTTTCAAAGTGTTTTGACTTTGCCATTGTATTAAGCAAGTGTAATGTGTACTTACAAAAAATTTAGTTCGTTATTGTTGTAACATTGTTGTGGTGATTTGTGTTGGTAGACAACTTGACTTACCTTCCCGTTGGTGTCTATTGTTAAAAATGATTAATTGGTAGTTCTATTCATGGAGCTTGATGATTCTAATCTTCACTAAAAGCCAAGACAAAGCATGTTGCTATAAATACAATTTGTTTATATTTCAATTTATTTTTTAATCTTTAGTGTTTGTTCATAGTTCTATTCTATAAAATATTTTTAATTGGCTTTTTAATAAATAAATAACATTTTGAAACCTTTGTTTCGCCTTCAATAAAAACCAGCATGAAATAACGTCAATGAACAACACCATCAAATACTGCTTCATTAAGACAGCAACTGCAGTTTACCAAAAACAGGTAAATTGTTTTCCTATTTCTTAAAATGTTTTTTTTTCTATTATATTTACCTTTCTATTATATTTTTCTTTTAGACATCATATGACGTATTTAGGCGATACAGGAGAACAAAAATAACAATTATGTTTTGTTAATTTGTTAAAAAGATATATATTTATTTTAAATAAATTTGTAATTTTTTAATTTTTGTCGGATTATAGAAGCATGAAATATTTGAAATTTTTTGTTTAAAATGCATTTTCTATCTATAATGAAAAATGCATTTCAAACAAAAATTTTACGTTTATGAAATTAACTAAAATTTAAACGTACGTTTATGTAATTAATTAAAATTTAATTATACACTTTTTTTTCTTATTAAAGGAGTGGGGACTACCAAAAAACTAATAAGTGTCTCACTTGTCAAAAAAAGAGAAAAAAAAAGTTTTTCTCAATATATTTAACAGTAACTTATGCTAATTATTTATTGCGTGTCTTCTTTTTAACACGCTGCCTTGAAAACACTGTATTTGTCTTACTTAAATGAGAATTAATAAAGGGACCATTGATAAAACCTAAGTAATTACTGAGCTCTTGCGTACTTCTAACACCACTATTGATAATGACCATGTATAACATATTACGAGTTGTTTGCTGTTTTATATTATTTTTATAACTGCAAGCAATGACATTGCTAATAAGGAGCCGAACTTTTAAAAAATACTTATAGATAAATTTCTATTATTTGTTATTTTTTTAGATGATATATCAAGTTATGTTGATTTACTTATTAATTACCCGTATTACGGGTTGCTAACTGCTAGTAAGCATATAAAGGCGCTTTGAAAAAAACAGCTGCAGCTTTTTTTATAGTAAAAATAAATGTAGCAAAAAAAATTTTTAATGTTTATTTATTTTTGTTTATTTATTTTTTGTCAAGCAGCGATTTACAATTAAAGGTAATTTCAGATTAAATATTTAAAAATATTAAAAATAAGTATATTTCATTATTTACAGTAGTTACGGGACCGGAGAACTTGAAGAAGATAAAATCTTATTATCAGTAACCTTTTGTAATTAAAAATGGAAACTAAAGTTTATTATTAGAAAAACTATTTTTTGGCTGATGTTAAAAATTTTGAAAATAAATAATTCGTGCTGCATGATTCTGTTGTTAAAGGAGACAGTCGAGTTTAGACTTATTTGTACTACTCCAAACAATATTGCTATAAGATAAATGATTATTAATTCGTAGTGAAAAGAAACTTTTTTATAACTACAGGCTTTTTTTTTTTTTTGCCTCCACAGCAGCACCTTCTGAAAAAGTAGACCTTATTAATTTCTTTTTTTTATTTTATCGAAGTTCTTTTTAAAAGTAAAGAATTACGGTATAGATAAAAGAAAAAAATCAAAGTCATTTTTATAAATAAAATAAAATATTTTCATAACTAACTGCAATCAATTAAAAAGAAACGGTTGTTGCAAAAATATAAAACAACGTGCTTTATTTTTATTATTTATTAACTAAAAAAACGTGTTTTATTTTTATTTATTTAATATTATTAAACTAAGTAATGGCGAGTAGCCAAAAAATGCAGCATTTTAATCTGCTTCTCAAAAAAGAAATTAAAAATGCTTGTATACTTCATCATGGTGAAGTTGGTCGTAATAATAACAAATTGCGTGGTTTTACTGAAAATGCGCTTGCGAAAGTGAAGACTTGTGGATTGTGACTTGCAAACCAAGCATTGTGACTTACAATGCATGGTAAGTCACAAACTAAATGTACAAGTCAGTTTATTTTTTTATATATGCCTTAAACAATGGTATGGAAAAAACAATAAATAGCGTAAAATTGATAATAATATTTTTTTTTACTATCATCAAATTCGAAATGACTTTAAAATAATAAACATCCAGCATTTTTTGGTCTTCGAGATATCTAACTTTTAGACATGGAGCAAACTCTAAACATTTATATGTTTATACTTATGTCAAATAAGGATGGTTTGCAAAAAACTGCGATAATTGGCCAATTATCAAATTTTGGAGCTTTTTTGTTCCCAAGCTCCAAATTTTCTTCCCTTGCCCTAAACGTGAGTGCAACAAGTTGATGAAATATTTTTGTACTATTTTTAACCAGACTTATATTTATCGATAAATTTTAAATTTCATAGAATATATTTCAGCGTTCAATAATTATAACAATATAAAATTTGCGACCCCCTCAAATTGAGGGGGGTTTAAACTTTATATGGTTAAAAATCTCGAAGACAAAATAATGCTGGATACGGACCTGCTAATACATGCCCAACAACTTTCTTATTTCATCAAAGATGTTACGATAAGTATGTGAATATAAAAACATTAAATATTTTATAACATCGGAAAAATAGAGCAGAAAATGTCAACAAGAGTGTAGGCGTGGATAATGCATCCTCATTTAAGCGTAGAATCTCAGCTTGGAAAAGAGATTGACCAGGTAAATTAAAAATCCTTTTAGTGTGAATTGCAAAGCAAATAATATTGCCCTCAGTTTACACGTTTTTTTTTATGTTTTATGTACTACTTCAAAATTAAAATAATTCCTTTGTTTCATGTAAAATTATTGCGGATGAAAAGTGTTGCATTTGCTACAAAAAGACTAATAAATATAGGAACGGATATAAAACGCTTTCACCCAATGGGCACCGGACCTAAAAAAGACGTCTTTTTAACGTTCAAAAGACGTCCAAAACATTCATAAGACGTTTAAAAGAGGTCCAAAACGAGTATAAAGCGTTTAAAAACGACTTTTTTACGTCGTGTCTACTGGGCAAAATTTGTAACAGAAAGTGCAGCAAACATGTTATAAGAAAACGCTTAAGTAAAGCTGAAAACTCAGCTAGTATATTGGGCAAAACATAGTTTACTTAGAGTTATATTATCATTGGACTTGTTACTTTAACTATACAAGACCCCAAAAAGTTCCTTTTATTTTAACAGAAGATGCAATTATGCGTTTTCTCTTCGACTAAACAATGTGACAGAACACGTATTAGTCAATTTAAAGATTACTCATACAAGTAAGCTATTTGAATTTTAGAAGGAAAACTGCACAGATAGAGATTCTAGATAAAAGGACTTTGCAGGATGCTGTAGTTGCAGAACTTGCGGGTCTGTTCAGTTGCGTTCACCAAAATAGGGTATTCTTTCTTATGCAATAATACCATTAAAAAGGGGAAAATAATCCAAAACTGATTGAACAGCTTATCCATCATGTCGCACAAAAGATTCGCAGCGAGGTTTTATCTTTAAAAAAAACATACTTTAAATTGCCTATATATATTGCATCTATTGGTTTCGAAACTGTTTGCATTCACACGGTTGACACCGATATTGCTATTTACTCTTTGTACTTTCAAAACCAACTTCAAATAGGATTATTTGTGGATATTGGCGTCTCTACTGAAAGACAGACTCTTGATATAAGTCTTATTGCCTCACAGTTAGGTACTGATTGTTGTAAAGCTCATCTTGCTCTTCATGCATTTAGCGGGAACAATTATACAAGTGCATTTTACGGTATTGGTAAGTCAAAGTTCCTCAAACAAATGAGACAGTCTGAAGAGCACAAGTCAATTATTCCAAGGTTGGGGACTCTTATACCTTTTATGTAACCCATTTTGACCAAATCAAAAAGTTTATATGTCAGTTATAAAAATTATAATGCAGTGATATGAACGAAGGAAGATACCTTAAGTTTATTGCCAAGAAAGAAGCTACGGAACCTTAAAAGTTTCTGCCAACTAGGGATGCTCCTATGTGTCATTGCAAGAGAGTTTTGTATCAAATAGCAATTGTCAAACAATCAGTAGAGGCAAATCTCAATATTCGAAAACCCAATTGATATGGATGACGAGAAATTGGCAATTAACTTGAGGTTAAATTGATGCATATTAGACCTGTTAAGTCCTATTCGTGTAAAAAGTCAAAATGTGAAACACGGGTTGATTGCATGGATTGATTTGTACGCAACTGTTCGTCTTGTGAAAACACAAATGATTGAGACGACACCTAGACATAATATTATTCAACTGATTCGAATTTTCCTTTTTAAAAATCTGGTCACTAAATTTTTTTTTTGGCGAAAATTAAAAAAAATTATTATCGTGACGTCATCAGTACCAAACAAAGGCTCGAATTTCACCCTTTAAGCACTATATAAATTGCTCGTAAGTTTTTCTAAAAGTTTTATTATTTACTATAAAGTTTTCTCAAGAGATTATCTAACGTTTGACGTAAATATATATTTTTTAGTTTAATAATAAAAAAAAGACCAGCGTGACGTCATCAGTACCAAATAATACCCCAAATATGACTCTTTAAGCACTTTCAGAAAGACACGTAAATTTTTTTTTGAGATTTTGTTATTTATTATAAGGTTTTCTCAAGAGTTTATCTAACTTTTGACAAAAAAATATTTTTTTAATTTGATTTTTTGAAAAAATGTCAAAATGATGTTATCAGTACCAAATAAGGGCCCAAATGTGACCCTTTAAGCACTTTCAGAAAGGCACGTTAAGTTTTTCCCATTCAAGATATCAATGTTAAACTATTTTTTGTAATGTACACTTAATTTCCAAGTAAAAGTTACACGAAGCGTCCAGACTAAAGTGAGCAATTGCACATATAAATATGCTATAGTATATATATATATATATATATATATATATATATATATATATATATATATATATATATATATATATATATATATATATATATATATATATATATATATATATATATATACATATATATACATATATATATATATATATATATATATATATATATATATATATATATATATATATATATATATATATATATGTATGTATATATATATATATATATACATATATATATATATATATATATATATATGCATAAATATATATATATATACATATATATATATATTTTATTTATGAGAATAAATTTTTTAATTTATTTTAAAATTATCACTTATACGTTCATAAATATATATATATATATATATATATATATATATATATTTTTATATATATATATATATTTATATATATATATATATATATATATATATATGTATATATATATATATATATATATATATGTATATATATATATATATATATATATATATATATATATATATATATATA